TGCAAAGTGGATGGGAATGTCTCCACAGATCACTGAACTCCTCCTCTCGGCGGGGTTGATTGGAAAGTTACGATGGAGACGAGGAATACTAGAAATCGTCCTGCTGTATAATTGACTCGTTATGGTCTCGCTTGGCAATATATTAATACATACAGTATATTAATACTTAAGTAGTAATTTTGATGATTTTGCATGAAATTAAATTTTGAAAAATGCACTTTTTATTTGGCCACTACATTTTTCAGTTTTTGCAATACAAACCTTTGACAACATCAGTAGCAAAAATGGCATAAGAGTTTGGTTTCTTTACGTGTTTGAATCATATCAAACGGTCATTTTTAAAATGAATTGGCATCAATACTCAAAATGGACGTTTTCTTTAAAGTCTCCATGAAATCAAAATTGAAGTTTTTTGGCTTTTAGTATGAATATGTTAGCCTTAAGGTTATCTATAAGCTAGTGCGTAAATTCGCATTTACAAGATGTAAGCATTCAAAACTTACAGTCTCTAACTTGCGCCAATATGTGACCATGGACCACAAAACCAGTCATAATGGTCAATTTTAAAAATATATATATTTTTTTTTAATAAATCATCTGAAAGCTGAATAAATTAAGCATTCTACTGGTGTATGGTTTGTTAGGATAGGACAATATTTGGCCGAGATACAACTATTTGAATCTGGAATCGTCTCACTATCAAAATATTGAGAAAATCGCATTTAAAGTTGTCCAAATGAAGTTCTTAGCAATGCATATTACTAATCAAAAATTAAGTTTTGATATATTTACAGTAGGACATTTACAAAATATCTTCATGGAACATGATCTTCACTTGATATCTGAATGATTTTTGTCATAAAAGTAAAATTGATAAATTTTAACCCATGCAATGTATTGTTGGCTATTGCTACAAATAAACCCGTGCTACTTATGACTGCTTTTGTGGTCCAGGGTCACATTCTGATGACATCACCCTGCACTTCAGCTTCTCATCAAACTTTCTGTCCAATCAAATGCTCTCTAGAATCCGAAGCGTTGGCTGCTTGAATTCTGTGCCTGGCAGTTGACACATCATTACAGCACAGCAAGTGACAAGAAGCACCCTGGGGATTCCTTCTAGTGGCTGTTTAAGTCGAGTTAGGAGAGCTCGACAATAACAGGCACCTCCATATCCATCCATATTCCATATCCCACCTCCTGCACAAGATGATAAATAAATGCTCTGCACACCATCGATCCGTGTTCTCTCATTTGGACCTCATGCAAATACACCGCCCAAAGCCAAACTAGCTAACTTATTTGGGTTGCACGGCGATACAGTCTCCCTGACTAATAGGTTTACCAGAGGTAATCCCATGCAAACTTTTGCATCATCCTCTGGAAGCAAAATAATAACATTCCCACAACCCCCCCAACCTCCGTTTCTTACATGGGGTGCCAAATTTTTGCTGCGCGCCTTTTCTCGGCTGGGAAGCAGGGTGGTGTGTAATAATTAGCCCCCGAGAGCATCAGAGGGTTGTCATATAGCACTATGCAGAGAGGCACATTAGTAGCTCCAGGCCAAGGAGGGAGCTGCCGCTGACTGACTGCCAAAGGCTCCCTGTTGACAGGGGTTGGCAGCAGCCACTGCATCAGTAGCTGACTCAAAACGCACTCCCACCCACCGAGTCAAAACATTATGTACTGTCATTTCAAGTTTGCAAAGTGGATGGGAATGTCTCCACAGATCACTGAACTCCTCCTCTCGGCGGGGTTGATTGGAAAGTTACGATGGAGACGAGGAATACTAGAAATCGTCCTGCTGTCTCGTTATGTCGTTATGGTCTCGCTTGGCAATATATTAATACATACAGTATATTAATACTTAAGTAGTAATTTTGATGAGAAATTAAATAATTAAATTTTGAAAAATGCACTTTTTATTTGGCCACTACATTTTTCAGTTTTTGCAATACAAACCTTTGACAACATCAGTAGCAAAAATGGCATAAGAGTTTGGTTTCTTTACGTGTTTGAATCATATCAAACGGTCATTTTTAAAATGAATTGGCATCAATACTCAAAATGGACGTTTTCTTTAAAGTCTCCATGAAATCAAAATTGAAGTTTTTTGGCTTTTAGTATGAATATGTTAGCCTTAAGGTTATCTATAAGCTAGTGCGTAAATTCGCATTTACAAGATGTAAGCATTCAAAACTTACAGTCTCTAACTTGCGCCAATATGTGACCATGGACCACAAAACCAGTCATAATGGTCAATTTTAAAAATATATATATTTTTTTTTAATAAATCATCTGAAAGCTGAATAAATTAAGCATTCTACTGGTGTATGGTTTGTTAGGATAGGACAATATTTGGCCGAGATACAACTATTTGAATCTGGAATCGTCTCACTATCAAAATATTGAGAAAATCGCATTTAAAGTTGTCCAAATGAAGTTCTTAGCAATGCATATTACTAATCAAAAATTAAGTTTTGATATATTTACAGTAGGACATTTACAAAATATCTTCATGGAACATGATCTTCACTTGATATCTGAATGATTTTTGTCATAAAAGTAAAATTGATAAATTTTAACCCATGCCATGTATTGTTGGCTATTGCTACAAATAAACCCGTGCTACTTATGACTGCTTTTGTGGTCCAGGGTCACATTCTGATGACATCACCCTGCACTTCAGCTTCTCATCAAACTTTCTGTCCAATCAAATGCTCTCTAGAATCCGAAGCGTTGCGTCCCTACACTATAAATAGAAGCTGAAATACAAGCTCGATCACTTGTTCACAGAGTTAGTGTTTGCCGTACAGTGAATGGCATGTAGTGCACTATATAGTGGATAGGGATTGATCTCTACGGCTCTGGCCCAAGCTGTGATATAAACAAAATACTACTGGCTATTTAAAAAAGGTTGATATGTCCTGAACCTGTCTTCCTGTTTCAGTTGAAATTACGTCACCACATAGAAAAATACTGCTTGTTTCAAGGCACTTCAGTGATCCTTTAATAGTAGCAGCAAAAATAGTTTGGATAATTTCCATGAACCAGTTCAAAGTGTCATTTTTAATTTGGTGATTTGCGTCATTACTCCAATTGTCTGCTCTCAATCAAGTTTTGGCATGTCCTGTCTTGCTTAAACAGATAGTCCCGCCCCAAATTCACACTATTGGTTGAGCCAGTGTTACTTTGGGCTGGTTAGGATACACAAACAAACTGATATTTTGAAAGCACCACAAACCCACAGCGTTTACATTTGTGTCTGTGGAAACGACCTATGGCTTACTTAAGCTTGATATAAATATCAAAATATATCTCATTGTGCCTGTCCAGACTATGTAAAATCTTGTGATTTTTGATCTTGTGATACTGCCCAGCTTGGCTATTGCTAAAAAGCTATAAAGAAACCATGCTTTTTCATGTTTCATTCAATAATCATCAAGTACACGCATGTAAATGCTCATGCACAAACAGACCCGAGCTAACACACACAGGTCTAGTTCACATCAGGACGTTCATAACCCCAGGCACTGTGGGCAGCATGGCATCTCGGTTTTGCCCAGGAACATTCCGGTGGTTTTTACACCTCAAAGTGCAGAACAGGCCAAACAACAGATAGCAGAGATAACCTGAGTAAACCAATGAGTTCTGACACATCAAGGCCTTTTGAAACAGCAGGATCATGTGTATGGGCTATAATCAAATTCAATGCATGTTAGCGGAGAAGAGCATGAAGTTGAGCATCAAAATATATGTCAGATCACAAGCACCAATGAACCAAAACTTCAGAGGGATTTTAAATAGTCAGTCACTCTAACATATTGATTTAAAGTCTATTTCATACATTTATGCACACACAAGCTATGCTGAAATAGATTTTCAAAAGATACGAAGAGACAAATTCCAAAGTTATAAAAGCCAGACTCTCTCCAATGATGGGTTTTTAAAATGGTCCCATAGCGGTTGTTCAAAAATTAAAACTGGGCTTTAACAGTATTTAATCAAGGGTCTCCTGAGGCATAATATGGTCAGTGGGTGATTTGTAAAGTACACACAGAATTAGCAGCCACCATATTGTCAAGAACAGATTTACATCACTTAATTAAACTGTTGTGAGTGTATATGTAAAAGACCAATCACTGCTACTCAGGAAAAGTTCACCCAAAAATAAAATTCTGTCATCATAAAGAATATTTTATTTGATAGCTGTGTAATCATCTATTCACTATAGAATCCTGAAAAAAAATATCAGTTTCCACAAAAATATTAAGCAGCACAACTGTTTTCAACACTGATAATAATGAGAAATGTTTCTTAAGCAGCAAATCAGGAAATGATTTCTGCAGAATCATGTGACACTGAAGACTGGAGTAATGATGCTGAAAATTTAGCTTTGATATAACAGAAATAAGATACATTTCAAAATGTATTAAAATAGAAAACATCAAATAAATGCAGCCTTGGTGAACAAAATAATTCTTTAAAAAAAGATTTTTAAAAATCTCATTAACTCTCAACTTTTGAGAGGTAATGCATATAGCGCTATAGTTTTTCATCCTTTCTTGTTAGTCCCTGTCACTGAGGCATAAAATAGTAAAACGATAATACTAATAATAATTGTGCAACTGTGAGATAATGTTTAAAACAGGAAGTCACAATTGTGCTATAGGCACATTTTGAGATATAAAATTACTCTGTAGAGTAGCTTGTTTTTTTGTTGTTGTTTTTTTTGGCCTCCATTCTATGAACTACAGTCTGGAGAAAATAAACTATATTTAAAAAATGACATACATTTCATTTTGGGGTGAACTGTTTCTTTAAGGATTTAACTGTGCTGTGCATGATTAGCATCAGGTAACAGGTGTTTATTTAGTATGTACTTCTTGTACTTTTCGCAATAGACCACTATGCGCCATTCTTTACATGTGTGTCACACCTGAAAGCACTGGTTGATGGCAAAACGCAGGAGTTTCACACCAGAAAAGAAGGGTACTCACTTGCAGGAGACGGAGTGCTGTATCCACTGACGGGAAGTCCTGGAAGCGCCGGAGGGGAGAGCCCTCCTAGCATATGAGGAAAGAAGTAAGGGTAGTGCGGCATCGGGAAGCCCCCTAAAGGATTGCCCAGACCTCTGGGGCTGGGGCAGTGGTTGCCGTTTCCAGACATGGCACGCTCAGATACAGCACTGAGTCCCAGACCTCTGTGCAGGCTATCCGTGATGCCGGATGTCTACTTTCCCATCATGAGCTACTTTTGGTAATCCAACTATGAGAGCTTTGTTTGCAATTGTCTGTGCGGGCGCTCGCTACTGTGGCTTGAGACAGAAACAGGTTAATGATTGGTGATCCAGGGTGCGTGTGAGTGATTATGAAGCCATTCAATCACAGTGTACGGCTCACAGGTGTAGCGCTCTTTGTTTCGGTGTTATGTAACTCTCTGGAAAGCAATCCCACAGTTCTCTTAGAATAAAAGTGTGTTGAGGCAGTATATTCCAGTTACTCTTCACAGGATGATGGACTAGGGTGATGTGACGCAAGAGGAAATGAGAAGCAATGCTCCGTAGGTGACAAACTGCTCTCGGGTCAAACCTGTCAGAGCGAGTAACCTATGAAAGACAGAAAAAGAGTGGAAAGGATCAGAGAAGAGGACATTTAGTAGTCAGATGTGTTTGTGTGTGTGCATTTCAAATAATCCTTCTGTATACAGTTGTGACCAGTATATAGATATATAGGCCTAGTCAGTGGATACATTTTCTCTTTTTGTTAATGCATAGTGTACTTTTTCATTTAATTCATTTTGCTGTCATTATATCATACATGCTTTTCCAAATCTTTAAATAATTCCTTGTAAGTACATACTGTGGATTAAATAATCTGTCAGTCTTCATTCCTAAATGAACATGCATAAAGAACATCACATTATTTAATCAAAAATACAATAAAAACAGTAATATAGTGAAATATCATTACAATTTGTAATATTAAATATTATTATATTTAAAAAAAAAAAACAGTTTACTAGAAACTTTAGTTTCACATGATCCTTCAGAAATAATTTTAATACACTGCTCAAGAAACATTTCTTATTATTATCGATGTTGAAAACTGCTGCTTAATATTTTTGTTGAAATGGATCAATTTTTTTCAGGATACTTTGCAATGCATTTATTTGAAATAATATTTTTGCAACAATACATGTCTTTACTGGTACTTTTGATAAATTGAAATCATCCTTGCTGGGAGAAAAAATCTTACTGACCCCAAACTTTTGGACGATAATGTATTTGCTCTTTCAGTACATAAATTAACGTTATTAAATTAATGTCATTTATATACCAATTGATGTCATTTTAACGTCAATAGGAACTAAAGAGTTCACAAAACCATAGAGAACATGTTGTAGTATCATTAGGCACAGTAGTGTTGACTTACACTAATGCTATCACTTGTAACTGCTTTCACATGAAAGTATTTACTTTTCTTGACTGTGAAAAGCATTTACTTGTCACTAACTATGTCACTAATTTCACCATTTAAAAATGAAAATAAAGAAAAAACAATCATTTTCAATGTCACAATTCAATTCAAACCCCATAAGAATTGATTTTTTTTTTTAACACATCATGAGCAGTTTACTGAAAAGCGCACTGCATAGAAACCTCCAGTTCATTTCTATGGGATGCTCTCTAAAACTTGCTTGAGTTAGTAACAAGAGGGTGGAGCTTAGCAAAGGACCAATTCTAATGGCTTTTATTCATGAAGTTCAATGAATCAGTACCACTGAATTTCTCCTAAATCTCCTCAGAAAGGGCTTACAAAATCTGACGACTCATTGGCCACCCTGCTTTCTAGATATCGTTATCAGTACTGGCCATTGAAAACCCTGTAACCCATATTATACAGTGTCATACACCACATACCACACTCAGATTAGATACAATGACTGCTGAACTCTGGTCTTTATAACCATATCGGAATGTGTTCTCCATTCTTACGGTTTCGCTGACAGAAATCTGAAACATCACAATACATCCAGTTTGACATCATACCTCACACAGAGTGTAAATAAACTGATGAATTAGAGAAAGAAAGAGGCAAAGACTGCATTTTAACATTCAGGGCCTGTTTTTGAGCACTGAACCCAGCTTGACAGCGTGGGAAAATGCTGCCAAGGTCTTCCCCAGTGAGCTTGTTAACTGTAGAGTTCCCTTAGGAACACAGAGCAGGATCTTCACACAGACCCACTGTCAGAAACCCTCATTAACACTATCTATCTGGGCATAACCTGGACATGTGAGAGCACGAACTGTGAAGTGGAGGAGGAAAAACACAGTTTGAAGACCCCGTGATGAGCACGCTATTTGTAATCAGTCCGTCTGTCTGCAAGCCTGTCGTGCTTCTTCACCGTCCCACCATCTATCTATCCTTACCGTATCTCACGTCTTTCTGCTCGACTCTACCCATCCATTCTCCAGACTACACAACAGATACGAAAGACTACACAAATAAATCTAATTCAAATATCCTCCCATATGGAATATGGATTATGAATTTCCCCGAAGGCATGCAGAGCGTCACGGGGGTACCGCTCAAAGCAGGAACGAGAAACTGAGAGAAAAAGTAGAAAAAGAAGGCAGCAAGAGGGAGAGATCAAAGCTGAAAAAGAGCAAGTGAAGACACCTTATTGTGCTGCACACGGCTCTCAAATCTCACTCATACATTATTAAACGGCGAACTAAGTAGGTTAAACCCCACTGGTCCCCTTTACATAGCAATGAACTCACTAATTCAAACTAATTCAATGCCAGAGAATGTGTGAAAACGTGTGATAAAGAGAGATTAGAGGACTGTATTTGTGTGAAAGACAGATTGACGGGAATAAAGAAACTAAGATGGAAAAAGAGAGAAAAAAAGAGTGTGAAATGTTTCCATAAGACGGTTAAATTTGTTTTAAGTATTACTTCACTAGAAATCATTAGATTTATGACAAGAAACAAGTACAGTTTGCTTTTAGTCCATGTGTCAGCTTTGGGGCTAATCTCAAAATAAAATAAAATTTAAATCGTTAGCAGATATAATTTTTTCTAGAATTAAATTGTGCCATTGCAATTAGCAAAATTATGGTTAGTGCCTGTGAGGTAAATGAAAGCCAACTGGCTATATAACTAATTAAACTAACTAACTAACTAAATATTTATTTATTTACCTATTTATTTATTTAATGTATGTACTTATAAAAAATAAATTAAAAAAACTATAAACATTTTTTGAAAGAAAGACAATCATTTTATTCAAACCTTACATTTAGCCATCTGACAGAAAGAACATACAATTTAATAGTGATTAATAGTTTGGGGTCAGTAAGAATAAATTAATACTTTCATTAAATTAATAAAAAGTGATGGTAACGACATTTATAGTGTTACAAAAGCTTTCTGTTTCAAATAAATTGTTCTTTTGAACTTTCCATTCATCAAAGAAATCTGAAGAAAAGAAAAAAAAAATTCTGACAGTTTCATCAAAAACATTAAAGGTGCTGTATGTAGGATTGACAACTAGTGGTTGAACTAGGTATTGCAGTCCAAATTCAAAATATTGGAGAGGGTTTTTTTCACCCGGCCCATCCTCCTCAGACTGATGCACACGCAGATTGACAGATTGACGACACAAACAGGAACGAGCACACTTGACGATGAATGAAATGAAATACACTGTGTTTTCCGCCAACTGGCAACCCGGGGTGCCGAAATACAATTGGGTAAACTGGCAGTGGGCGGGTTACACAGACCAAAACTGTAGCATTGTTTTTCAGATAAACAAGTATGTTAACTTAGCATGTTTCTTAAATATCTGCAAACATATGGCATTTTTACGCTTTAGTAGAGTCAAAAACTTACATACAGCACCTTTAAGCACAATTATTGATAATAATAAGAAATATGCAAATCAGCATATTAGAATGATTTCTGAAGGATCATGTGACGCTGAAGACTGGAAAATTCAGCTTTACCATCACAGGAATGAATTAATAAAAAAAGAATTATCTTAAAATACATTCACTTAGGATACAGTTATTTTAAATCGCAATATTACACAATATTACTGTTTTTACCGTTTTTCCGACCCTTTTGAATGGCAGTGTATATGTCATTACTAATCAAACTTCATGTTTCAAGATGAAATGCACCAGCACAGGTAAAAAAAATAAATAAAAAAATCTTCTTGCAAAAACATCTCACTGGATCTTTATGAAACTAATTAACATTTCCATTATCACACAGTTACAATCAAAACACTGACGTGCATAATCGTAGGTGCTTATGATCGCGATAGTGGATAAGGGGCATTTACACACATATACACAAATAATCTGACAATGAAAGTAAGTGTGGGTGAAGGCACACTAGTTCCCATGCAAGTCATACACGCAAGACGTGAAGGTGATGCACAGCTCAGTAAAAACACTGACAAGCACACACTCAGAGTGAGAAACTCATGTTTCATACCAAAACATCAGAAGTGCCCTCTCTTTATGCTCCCATACATTCTGTATATACATACTGCACAATAACAATCAAACATATTAAGCATAATTTGGTGTATGTAATGTATTCTGTATGTTTATGCAGTCCAGTGATGAAATAATTATACATTTCATAAAGTGCATGCTTACGAATTGTCATATGACTATAACTGACCATGAACTTTCAGTTTTTATTTGTGACAAATGCCCTTTTGAAAGAGATATAATCTCCTCTGACTAAATGAGCAAACTTCAAAAAGGTAGTCAAAAATTCACCCTTACTAATTACTTAACCACATGCTATCTATCTGTTTAACATTCCTAATCCTTTTATTACTCATTTCCTTCACAATTTTGTGTTGTTAAAAGTGTTGGAATGAAAATTAACAGTTATTTTATTTTATTTTATATTTTATTAACGGTTTTATAATTAGACCTGAGCGATAAAACGGTATCGATATTTATCGATGGTACACCTTATTGTATACCTACCGCATATTCAGCGCATTTTTAGACCGACAAGTACGACTGTTGCACTCGTGTCTCACAGAAGAGATGTATAGAAAGCCATGCAAAGTTAAAACAGTTTAAACTTTTAGAAAACACGTCACGAATTTGTTGAGGTTTATTCCTTTTCTCATATAGTCTCATATGTTTTTAAATGCAGTCTGTGTGAATGGCGCTTCGGCTCTTTGGATTAAGCCATGCATACATACATGATGCTGTTTTGTTCATAATTGTTTATGCAATTTACGAAATTATATTTGATTTTTATGAGTTAATTTAGATGTAATGCACATTTTTATAGAGTAACTTCCTTGCGTTGACAGTTTAAATGCGCTGCATTATTTTGCTCATTGCACCCTCCTGTGGCCTCAGGAGACAATTGGACCTATACAATAAAGACCTATTTAATCTGCATATAAAACATTAGAAATTAGATATTTGTTTAATTTGTATTGTGTTTGATTGTTAAAACAAAAATATATTTGTTGTTTGTCTCAATAAATTGTGTTAATTATAAATACAGTGGTTAAATAAATAAAAAAATCTATTGCTTTTTGTTTTAAAAAAGGTTATAAA